CAAGAGACGTGGCCACAGTGGCACCTCCAAGTTCCCAACCCTCTCCAGGTGCCAGGCACGCTGTCCACTGCTTTATTCTGGAGTTTGGGAATTGGACATGCCTGGGTTCCAATCCCAATCCCAATGCTTCCCGGCTGTATAACCTTACCTCCCTGAGCCTACTTTCCTCCTCTGTGAACAGAGACAGTTAATGCTCACAATCACCCAGTGGGGCAGACACTGCTAAGTGATTCACAAACAAACGAGAACAGCAGCAGCAGTCTGGAGTAGTGGCTAAGGAACCAGAGCCAGACTGCCTTGGTTTAAACTTCCCGATGAGTGACCCTGGACTGCTTATTTATGACATGAGGAGCAGACAAGAGAGAGATTAAGAGGCACTGAAAGGCTAAAGAGCAGAGAAAGGAAACTGAGGGGCTGTCAGTTTCCTCCCTTGCAAAAGAGGACAACAGAAGGTGGGGGGTGGGGGTGGGTGGGTGGCTCAAGCCTGTAATCCCAGTACTTTGGGAGGCCAAGATGAGCGGATCACCTGAGGTCAGGAGTTCAAGACTAGCCTGGCCAACATGGCAAAGCCCTGTCTCTACTAAAAATACAAAAATTAGCTGGGCATAGTGGCGCATACCTCTAGTCACAGCTACTTAGGAGGCTGAGGCAGGAGGATTGCATGAACCTGGGAGACAAAGGATGCAGTGAGCTGAGATCATGAGATCACATCAAGGCACTCCAGCCTGGGCAACAAGGTGAGACTCTGTCTCAAAAAAAAAAAAGAAAAGAAAAGAAAAAGGAAAAAAAGCAAGCAAGCAAGAAAGCACCCAAGTAAAATTAACTGGGCATGGTGGTGCCTGTAGTCCCAGCTATTCAGGAGGCTGAGGCGGGAGGATCCCTTGAGTCCAGAAGGCTGAGGCTGCAGTGAGCCATGACTGTGCCACTGTACTACAGCCTGGGCAACAGAAGATCCTGTCTCAAAAAAAAAAAAAAAAAAAAAGTGGAGGTAGGAAGAACCCACACGTCCATCAAGAGCCAGAAGAGATCATTAGGACAGTCACACAAGTGACACACTGAAGAGGTATACATCCACGAAAACAAACTGGAGCCACATCAAACAAACAAACAAACACACAAAACTGGATGGATGCCATAAACCCAGTGATGAGTAGCAAATGGAAGATGCAGAACAGTTTGTGCTGTATCTACTCCATCTATATCAAGTTCAAAGCAGGGAAACCTGAGCTGAGCTGATTCAGATGGATGCATGTATGGTAAACCATCACATAAAGCCAGGCTATGAGAATATGGGGGAGCAGGGGAGTTGGCTGGCACAGGGCATATGGGGCAAAAGGCCTGTGGCGCTAGCAACACTTTTGCAACATAAATGGCGATTATGTAGGCTTTCATTTATAATGATTTGTTAAACTACATGTTTGCTTAATGTATTTGCCTGTACATGTGTTCTGTAATTATTCTTTATTTTTGAGACACGGTCTCACTCTGTTGCCCAGGCTGGAGTACAGTGACATGATCCTGGCTCACTGCAACCTCTGCCTCCCAGGTTCAAGCAATTCTCCTGCCTCAACCTCCCAAGTAGCTGGGACTACAGCTGTGTGCCACTGTGCCCAGCTAATTTTTTGTAGAGACAGGGCTGTGCCATGTCACCCAGATTGGTAATTCTTATTTAATTTATTTATTTATTTTTTTGAGAAAACGAAGGGTCTCACTCTGTCCCCCAGGCTGGAGTGCAGCGGCACGATCATGGCTCACTGCACCCTTGATCCCCCAGGCTTAAGCAATCCTCCCACTTCAGCCTCTCAAGTAGCTGGAACTACAGCCACACACCACTACATTAACTAAAACAATGGGTTTTTTTTTGAGACGGAGTCTTACTGTGTAGCTCAGGCTGGAATGCAGGGGTGTGATCTAGGCTCACTGCAACCCTTCTGGGTTCATGCCATTCTCCTGCCTCAGCATCCCAAGTAGCTGGGACTACAGGTGCCCCGCCACCATACCCGGCTAATCTTTTGTATTTTTTTTTTCCGTAGACACGGGGTTTCACTGTGTTAGCCAGGATGGTCTTGATCTCCTACCCTCGTGATTCATCCACCTCGGCCTCCCAAAGTACAGGCGTAAGCCACCGCGCCCGGCCAATTTTTAAATTTTTTTATAGAGTTGGGTCTTGCTATGTTGCCATGGCTGGTCTCGAACTCTTTGGTTCAAGTGAGTATCTCGCCTCAGCCTCCTAAAGTGCTGGGATTACAGGCATGAGCCCCTGCAGCCACCCTAATTGATTTTTTATTATTAATTTATTTTTGAGATGGAGTTTCGCTCTTGTTGCCCAGGCTGGAGTGCAACGGTGCGACCTTGGCTCACTGCAATCTCCGCATCCCGGGTTCAAGCGATTCTCCTGCCTCAGCCTCCCAAGTAGCTGGGGTTACAGGCATGTGCCACCACGGCCGGCTAATTTTGTATTTTTTAGCAGAGATGGTTTTTTTTTTTTTTTTTTTTTTTTTTTTTTTTTTTTTTTTTTTTTTTTGAGACGGAGTCTCTCTGTCGCCCAGGCTGGAGTGCAGTGGCCGGATCTCAGCTCACTGCAAGCTCCGCCTCCTGGGTTCACGCCATTCTCCTGCCTCAGCCTCCCAAGTAGCTGGGACTACAGGCGCCCGCCACCTCACCCGGCTAGTTTTTTGTATTTTTTTAATAGAGACGGGGTTTCACCGTGTTAGCCAGGATGGTCTCGATCTCCTGACCTCGTGATCCACCCGTCTCAGCCTCCCAAAGTGCTGGGATTACAGGCTTGAGCCACCGCGCCCGGCCAGAGATGGGATTTCTCTATGTTGGTCAGGCTGGTCTCAAACTCCGTACCTCAGGTGATCCACTCACCTCATCCTCCCAAAGTGCTGGGATTACAGGTGTGAGTGACTGCGCTTGGCAATTGATTTTTCAAAAACCATCCCTCCTCCTGTCCCAACTTCCTTGGCTTCCTCGTCTTGCACACCAAGAGATGTTGCATCATGCAGGATACCACCAGCCACCCCCTTGCCCTGTACTGGGAGTGGCACCCTGCTAGCTGCTGAAATGGGAGTGTAGACAGACAGCCAGACACTTACAGCTTCAGGACAGCCAGGTTGGCTTCCAGATCATAAGCATTTTCCTTGGCCTGCGTCTCCACATAGCGCTCCAGGGTGGCCAGGTTCTCAGGATTGTACCTAAAGGAGAATCAAGATAGGTGAGCAGACAGGAGACAGAAGCTGAGGCCAGTCACTTTACAGTCGCAGGGGCAACTGTAACCTGCTCCTCCCACCCTTCCCCTCTAAATCTGGCACTGGCCACTTGCTCTATCCAGGTAGTGAATTATGTCCAGTATAATCTCTAATAAAACTTATTCATATCCTAGACCTCTCACCTAAGCTCTATACTCCATTGGAGCCCTGGGTCTTGCCTAGGATACCTCCCCAACCTCTGAGCCAGTCAGTCACTGCAGCTTGTGCATCTGGCCTCCTGAACACCTCTGCTACTCACCCCTTCCTCCCCTGCTCAGGCCTCCACCCTGATCCAGCCCTATCCTCTCCTGCCTACCTCGATGCCTACTTCCCCCATGTCCGTCTGAACACTCTAGCCTTTGCTTCTCCCATTTCGGTTCTAACCTCTCCCGGATATCACTGATGTCAGGTTTGTCTCCCTCATGGAATGGGAACTCAGACCGTGAAGGCATGATCTGCCGCTGTCTGATTCGCCTGTGGTTCTCAGCATTGCCTAGCACTGACACTTTATTTCAATAAACATGTGAATGAATGACGTAAGGAGCAGAGAAGGGAGAGATTAAGAGGCACTCAAAGGAGGCGGGGCAGAGAAGGAAACCTTAAGGCAATTCACGAAGAGACTGAGTGGTACCAAGATTCTTTCGCTTCTAGGCCTTTGCAGGGCTGTTTGTTTCTTTCTTTCTTTTAGAGACGGGGTATGACTGTTGCTCGGGCTGGTCTCTAACTCCTGGGCTCAGGCGACCCGCCTGCCTTGGCCTCTCAAAGTGCTGAGATCACAGGCGTGAGTCACCGCCCCCAGCTCAGGGGCGTTTCTTTAAGCATCTCCTCCTCCAGGAGGATAGAGAAACCCCACCCCGCGGCAAGCCCAGGACCCTGACCACTCCTTGCTGCCTCCTGAAAACCCTCCCCTCCGCCCCGCATGGCCAGAGCGCTCCCTCCGACCGGGCTCAGACCTGTCGATACCCTTGAGCAACTTGCCCACGTTAGCTCTCATCTGTTCAAACATCGCCATGACTTCTGTCGCTTTCCACAACCAGGGCTGGAGACTAACACCGGCCCGGCACGGCGTCCGCGAGGACGGGAAAAGGAAGAGGTGGTGGAAACGGAAACGACGTCATTGTTGTCGCTCCAGCTCCCTGGGGGCGGTGAAGGGACAAGCTCTCGCAGCAGCCGCCACGCTTTCCGGCTGCCACGTGACTTCTTCCTCGCAGGGGCAATTAGCGCGTGCGCATTCGCTCCACTCAAGCTGGACGGACAGCGTGAGAAAAAGCTTACTGTATCCCAGTGCGCAGGCGCCTCTCTTGGCGAGGGGGCGGGGCTAAGCTTTTCCCGGGCCTCACAGACCCAGTTCCAGTGCCGGGGGCGCGGGAGCGTGCGCGCGCGAACTCATTGGGAAGCAGCCGGAGCTCTGGCGGCGTGCGCGCGCGTTATATTGCGCGCGCCCATAAGTCCCCGGAGCTGTGCGGGAATGCACGCAGCAGCCCTCCGTTTAGGCATTGGCCAAGTCCCGAGGGAGATGTTCTCTGAGGTCCCTCTCGCCTCAGGCCTGGGCGCATGGTGCAGGATCCTGAGCGCCCAGGATCCAATTTCAAGTCTCGGCCCTTGGTCCCCAGCTCCAGGAAGAGGGTCCCACAAAGCTATTGTGCTCTGCCGGGCAGGGGCTGGGGTGAGGGCTCCTGGACTTCGCCGGATCGCGCCCGGTCTCCATTAGGTTCCGGTCTTGGAGCTGAGGGTGAGGGTCCCATCTGTACTGCCATCAATTATATATTATGTATAGGTTTTGTACACTGCAAGCATAGAAAATGCAGTTATGTGCCATGCATGTGGAGGTATATGCGCTGGGTACCTCCACGTGTGTACTGTGCACACAGGTATCTAGGCAGATGCACATCTACACGTCTACACGGCCGCCCAGTGCAGAGGAGGTAACCCAAGTGCATGTATGTGACAGGTGAACAGGCATATACACTGCGTAGTCATCCCTGTGCAGACTTGCCGCCTTCGGGTTGTGGCCAAACCTTCAAGCACCCAGTAGAGGTTTAGACACTACCTAGGAGACGGGGGCGGGGGTTCTAAGGCACCCCCCTCCAATCCAGTTACGATTAAGATCATTTGCATCACATTTACATCCAGCCCTGGGCCTTGGAGGTTGAGGATGGTCCCTTGGGTCCCAAGACAAGCTGCCCCTCAGAGGCTTTCAGCGCCCAGGGGACGGGGGGTGGAGTCCTTTTCACAGCCGTGCAGTGCAGCTGGGGCAGGAAGCGAGAGTGGGGAGGGGGGGGAGGCCACAGCCCGCGGAGGCAAGGCGGGTGCAGGGCTTCTGGGGACAGAGGGAGGTGCCAGAACTTGAGCCCTGAGGCCCTGCTGGCCCCTGGGCGCAGGCCCAGCTCCGGCCCCCAGGGATGGACCTCGTGGATCCGGACATTTTCAGTAGAGACCCCCGGGACCACTACGACCTGCTGCAGCGACTGGGTGGCGGCACATATGGGGAAGTCTTTAAGGTGAGAAAACCCCTCTGTCCCCAACACCCTCAAACTAGTGGCCTTTAAGGCGAGGCCTCGGTAGGGAGGAGGCTGCAAGAGGGGGTCCCAGTCCTTGACCTTGACTCAGGGATGCTGAGGAGGGACTCTGGCAAATGGAGCCTGCCTGACTGCCGACTTCCCCTTTGCAAGGCTCGAGACAAGGCGACAGGGGACCTGGTGGCACTGAAGATGGTGAAGATGGAACCTGGTGAGGAGGAAACCCGGGGCTCCTTCCCCACATCCCCACCTTCGCCTCCTGGGACACTGGGATCACCTCCCTCGTAGCTCTCTCCATCGAGCTGCCTTTCTCTCCCACCCTCCTCACAGATGATGATGTCTCCACCCTTCAGAAGGAAATCCTCATATTGAAAACTTGCCGGCACGCCAACATCGTGGCCTACCATGGGAGTTATCTCTGGTGATGAACCTCAGACCCACCCTGGCACCCAGCCCAGCCCCTAACCCAGAGCCCCCATTTCTTGACGGGGGTACCCTCAGTTCTTTTCTTTCTTTCTTTCTTTCTTTTTTTCTTTTCTTTTGAGATGGAGTCTTGTTCTGTTGCCAGGCTGGAGCGCAGTGGCATGATCTCGGCTCACTGCAACCTCTGCCTCCCGTGTTCAAGCAATTCTCTGCCTCAGACCCCCGAGTAGCTGGAATTACAAGCGTCCACCACCCCGCCCGGCTAATTTTTATATTTTTAGTAGAGATGGGGTTTCACCATCTTGGCCAGGCTGGTCTTGAACTCCTGACCTCGTGATCCATTGGCCTCGGCCTCCCAAAGTGCTGGGATTACAGGTGTGAGCCGCCGTGCCTGGCCTTGGCACCCTGAGTTCTAACCTTGAACTTCCATTTCTCACCATAACCCAACCTCCCATCCTGGACCCCCATTTTTGACTGGGCTAACCCTACCCTGATCCCCACTCCTAAGTCCCACTTTTCTGACCAGAGCAGCCTCTAATCTCCAATCCAGAATTCCCATTTCTGATCAAGAGTACCCCAAACTGATCCCTTCATAGTAACTGAATTTGAAATCAACTCCCTAGAAACGAAGCTCTCATCATTCTGCCCTCTGGCTCCCCCAGTTCCACTCTCTGCTCCTTTAATATAAACTTCTAAATTCCCTGATCCCCAAATTAATATTCCAGATGTCCCAATAATGACCTCTGCTCCCCAGAACAGGTGCCCTGGGCCCCTCTGTCCCCTCCAAATCTCCACAACCCGTGAGATCTCTGCCCTACCTCCTAGGTTGGCGTGGGACGGCAGAGGGGTCCCGCCCAAAGGTCTAGGTTTGAGTTGACTTGCCCCGGAACTCACATTTCCTCTCTGAGCCTTAACTTCCTTGTCTGTGAAACGGGAATGAAACCACCTCACTCTGGTAGACAAGGAGAGATGGAGTGATGAGCGCTGTTACATTAAAGTTCTTACTGATCTAGAACAAGACAGAAGCAAACCAGGGACTTTCCTGCAAATAATAATGTATTACTGCTATTATTATTCTTACTCTTGAAACACTGCAGGTTGCAGAAACTCTGGATCTGCATGGAATTCTGTGGGGCTGGTTCTCTCCAGGACATCTACCAAGGTTAGAGAAAGCACAAGGGGACCCAGGCAACCCTCCCACCCCCACCCCCCAACCCCGACCCGAATTCACCTCTTCCGTCTCTGTGTGTGTATCTCACAGGAACTGTCTTTCTGGGCCATATTTCAAACCCTTGGGCTGAGCTGATCCTCTTGCCTTCAGCTGCTGAAGTGCTGAGATTACAGGCTTGAGCCACCGTGCCTGGCTTTTTAAAATTTAATTTAATTTTATTTTATTTTATTTTATTATTTTAAAAAATATAACTGCTGGGCCTGGTGCGGTGGCTCACGCCTGTAATCCCAGCACTTTGGGAGGCCGAGGTAGGTAGATCACCTGAGGTCAGGAGTTCAAGACCAGCTTGGCCAACATGGTGAAACCCTGCCGCTACTGAAAATACAAAAAATTAGCCAGGTGTGGTGGCAGATGCCTGTAATCCCAGCTACTTGGGAGGCTGAGGCAGGAGAATCACTTGAATCTGGAAGGCAGAAAACCTCTGATTCCTTCCAACCCTAGACCTCAAATGTTAGAAAAGGAAGGACTTCATTGAGAAGTCCTCAGGGAAACTGAGGTCCACAGAAAGGAAGTGAATCCCACAGCTGGTGTGTAAGACCTAATGTCTGACGGCCTCTTTCTGTCTCTCTGTCTTTCCGCCTGTGTGTTGTTCTTCCCTCGTCATCCTCTGAGTCTCTCTCTAAATCTGTCTCCCCACATTTTGGCCTCTGACCTCTGTCTTTGTCTCATTTTTTTTGTTTTTTTCAATCCTGTTCCTTCTGTATGTCTCATGTGTGATCTGCCCCCGTTTCTCTGTCTCTCTCTGTCTCTCTCTGTCTCTGTGTCTCTGTGCCTTTCCTTATTTTGCAAAGTCATATCACGCCCCTGCTCAGAGCCCTCCTACAGCTTCCATTTCTCTCGGAGGAGAAGCCCAGACTCCTCATCAGGGTCCACCCCAGGCTGGCCGACCTCACCTCCTCCCACTTTCCTCCTCCTCCTCCACTCCACCCCACCGCCTTTGCTGCTTTCCAGACCCACCAGGAACTGTCCCACCTGGGACCCTGCACTTGCTGTGGCTGGTCCCACTCAGAGTGGGAGCCCTCACGTCTTCACCTGCTGTCACCTTCAGAGAGCAGCCCTGACTGACCACCTCTGTGAAATGTCATAGCCCCTCCTACGCACCCCTTTCTTGCTGTATGTTTCTTCCTTTTGTCTTTCAGCGTCTGAGGAACTACATCATATTCTACTTATCTTGCTTACTTTCTTTCTTTATTTTTTCTTTTTCTTTTTCTTTCTTTCTTTTCTTTTCTTTTTTTTTTTTTTTTTTTTTGAGACAGAGCCTCCTTCTATTGCCCAGGCTGGAGTGCAGTGGTACGATCTCGGCTCATTGCAACCTCCACCTCCTGGGTTCAAGCAATTCTCCTGCCTCAGCCTCCTGAGTACTTGGGATTACAGGCATGCACCACTATGCCTGGCTAATTTTTGTATTTTTAGTAGAGATAGGGTTTCGCCATGTTGCCCAGGCTGGTCCTGGACTCCTGACCTCAAGTGATCCACCCACCTCGGCCTCCCAAAGTGCTGGGGTTATAGGCATGAGCCACCGCGCCAGCCCTATTGGCCTCTTTTATTTGCATCGCTGCCTCTTTCTGTCGCTGACCACCCCACCATCTCCCCCTCCCACTGGTCCCATCCTGTTTCCCCTCTCCCTATGGCACCCTCTTAGCTGGTGTGGGGGCGGGCAGGACTCCCCAGCCCAGGTTCCCTGGCTCCCATCCAACGCCTGGCCTGGCCGGGGTGACCTTTGCAGTGACAGGCTCCCTGTCAGAGCTCCAGATTGGCTATGTCTGCCGGGAAGTGCTGCAGGTAAGGAGAGGCCTGGGTGTTCTGGGAAGAGGAGAGGAGGGGGCCCCACTCCAGCCCCCAGACACTCACAGTCCCCTTGTCCACCCTTCTCCCCAGGGACTGGCCTATCTGCACTCACAGAAGAAGATACACCGAGACATCAAGGTGGTCTGGGGGTGCAGGGGTGCTGTTGGGGGTGGGGCCCAGGAGATGGGCGTGGCATTTCGGGGACTCAGGGATCAGGGTAGTTTCAGCTGTAGGGAAAGAGTCTCCACAGCCTCCCATACCCCCTCTCATTCCCAGGGAGCTAACATCCTCATCAATGATGCTGGGGAGGTCAGATTGGGTGAGTAAGGCTGGGGGTTGAGCAGGGGGGGCTGACTGGGCGGCTGGAGGCGCAGTGGACCCCAGATCACTATGTCTCCCTCTGCTTCCAGCTGACTTTGGCATCTCGGCCCAGATCGGGGCAACGCTGGCCAGACGCCTGTCTTTCATTGGGACACCCTACTGGTGAGGGGTGCCCAGCGGGCAGCTAGGGGTGGAGTGGGGCTCAGTGGTTTTTCCCACCGTGGTTCCCCGGGATCCTCCTTCCTGGCTTCGTTTCCCTGTCTCTTCCTTTCTCCATGGAAGAGTCTTTCATTCTCTCTGGGTGTCTCTTGAGTTTTCCACTTTTCTCTCTCGTTTTGTGCCCTTTTCTGCCCGTTGCTCTAGGTGCTTGTGTTGGTTTTTATCTTGATTTATCTGTCCCTCCATATCCATTTCTGTCTCTTTCCTGTAGCTCAGTTTGTAGCACTCTCTGTCTCTTTGTTTGTCTCTCACTCTCTCTCTGCCTCTCTGTCTTTTCATTTTGTTTTGTTTTTAGAGACAGGTTCACTGTACCTCCAGCCCCACTGTGGCCCAGGCTGGATTGCAGTGGCACAGTCATGGCTCACTGCAGCCTAGAACTCCTGGGCTCAGGACATCCTCCCACCTCAGCCTCCCGAGTAGCTGGGACCACGGGTGTACACCATGACACCTGGCTAATTTTTTAAAAATTTGTGTAGAGATGGTGTTTTTTTTTTTTTTTTCTTGAGATGGAGTTTTGCTCTGTTGCCCAGGCCAGAGTGCTGTGGCACAGTCTCGGCTCACTGCAACCTCCACCTCCCGGGTTCAAGCAATTCTCCTGCCTCAGCCTCCAAGTAACTGGGATTACAGACGCCTGCCACCACACCCAGCTAATTTTTGTACTTTTAGTAGAGACGGGCTTTCGCCATGTTGGCCAGGCTGATCTCAAACTCCTCACCTCACGTGATCTGCCTGCCTTGACCTCCCAAAGTGCTGGAATTACAGGCAAGAGCCACCATGCTCAGCCGAGGTGGGGTCTTGATAAGTTGCCCAGGCTAGTCTCAAACTCCTGGGCCTAAATCATCTGCCTTGCTTAGCCTCCCAAAGTGCTGGGATTACAGGTGTGAGCCATCGCGCCCAGTCTGCATCTCCGTCTTCATCTGCCTGTGTCTGTCTTTACTCCTGTCCCTCTGTCTCTCCGTCTGACTCCGTGTGCTGCATCTCCCCTCAACTCCTTCTCCTTCTCTGCCCCTCCTTCCCTTCCTGTCCCCTTGCCACCTCTGGCTCTCTGAGTGTATCTCCCCCCAGGATGGCTCCAGAAGTGGCAGCCGTGGCCCTGAAGGGAGGATACAATGAGCTGTGTGACATTTGGTCCCTGGGTATCACGGCCATCGAACTGGCCGAGCTACAGCCACCGCTCTTCGATGTGCACCCTCTCAGGTAGGCAGGTGTGGGGTCCCCAGGCCCAGAGATCCTGTCCAGCCCTGGCCCAAAGCCCACTCTCAGCTTCTGCCTTCCATCCCAGGAACCTCCAGTTGAGGGATCGCCACTTGAGCCTACCTTGGCACATGCTGCAGCTCTATTTTTTAAATTTAATTTAACATTTTATTTTATTTTTTATTTTTTAAGACTGAGTCTTGCTCTCTCACTCAGGCTGGAGTGCAGTGGCGCAATCTCAGCTCACTGCAACTTCCATCTCCCGGGGTCAAGCTATTTTCCTGCCTCAGCCTCCCAAGTAGCTGGGACTACAGGTGTGTACCACCACGCCTGGCTAATTTTTGTATTTTTAGTAGAGATGGGTTTTCACCATGTTGGCGAGGGTAGTCTCAAACTCCTGACCTCAGATGATCTGCCCACCTCAGCTTCCCGAGGTACTGGGATTACAGGCGTGAGCTGCAGCACCCAGCCTATCTTTTATTTTAATTTTTATATATTTATTTATTTTTGAGATGGAGTCCCACTCTTGTCACCCAGGCTGGAGTGCAGTGGCATGATCTCAGCTCACTGCAACCTCTGCCTCCCAGGTTCAAGTGATTCTCCCTCCTCAACCTCCCAAGTAGCTGGGATTACGGGTGCGCGCCACCACGTCTGGCTAATTTTTGTATTTTTTGGTAGAGATGGGGTTTCATTATGTTGACCAGGCTGGTCTCGAACTCCTCACCTCAGGTGATCCACTTGCCTTGGCCTCCCAAAATGCTGGGATTACAGGTGTGAGCCACCACGCCCAGATATTTTTAAAATTAATTAATTAATTATTATTATTTTTAGAGACAGGATCTTGCTCTGTCACCCAGGCTGGAGTGCAGTGGCACCATCGTAGTTCACTTCAGCCTTGAATGCCAGGGCTCAAATGATCCTCCTGCCTTAGCCTCTCACATAGCTGGTCCTACAGGCCCACATTGCCATACCCAGCTATTAAAAAAAATTTTTTTTTTTGTCTCACTATGTTGCCCCAGCTGGTCTCCAACTCCTGGGCTCAAGCTGTCCTCCCGCCTTGGCCTCCCCAAGTGTTGGGATTACGGGCATGAGCCACTGCACCTGGCCTTGCTGTAGCTCTACCACGCCAAAAGCGGCTTCCCTTAGGAGAGGTATCCTGGTGCGCTGTAAAACCCGAACCTCACTTCCATGCTGTTTCTCACTTTGCCCTCTGCTGACCGTAATGCTACTAGGAACCCCTCAAGCCATGAGGTCTGGCCCCCTTGAAGGTCTGAACCCCGTATCCTTTCCCTACTATTCTAGAGTTCTCTTCCTCATGACCAAGAGTGGCTACCAGCCTCCCCGACTGAAGGAAAAAGGCAAATGGTACGAGAGAGTGACAGGAGGGAGGGTGAGTGAGGGCGGGGCTGGGGCTGGGTGGCCTGATGGGAGGGTCTCTGGTCCCCTCACCCAGAACCTGGCTTCTTCTTCCCAAGGTCCGCTGCCTTCCACAACTTCATCAAAGTCACCCTGACTAAGAGCCCCAAGAAACGACCCAGCGCCACCAAGATGCTCAGTGTAACCCTCCCTTCCCCAAGACCCTCAGCCCAGAATTCCCTGGGGCCTTCCACAACTCCCGAGGACATGGAGAACTTCGTTCCACGGAGTCCCCGTGGCCTTCCAAAGTCCCTAATGCCTCAGAATTTCCCAGGACCACCGTCCACCACTAGAGACCCTCTGGGCTATACCCCAAACCTTTCCCAAATCCCCTGAGTTGCCAGAACTCACAAATTCCCAAAGGACTCAAGACTTGTTCTGAGTGTCCTCTTGAATCCCCAGGGAACCACAGTCTCTTCCAAGACAACTGTGGAATTCTCCCAGCCCTGCTCTGAGAAATATAAATTCTTCTAATTCCTAAAAATTTCTTAGACTCCCCAGGCCGGCTGGGCACGGTGGCTCATGCCTGTAATCCCAGCACTTTGGGAGGCTGAGGCAGGTGGATCACTTGAAGTCAGGAGTTTGAGACCAGCCTGGCCAACATGGTGAAACCCCGTCTCTACTAAAAACACAAAAATTAGCCGAGTGTAGTGGCGCGTGCCTGTAATCGCAGCTGCTTGGCAGGCTGAGGTGGGAGAATCACTTAAACCCAGGAGGCGGAGGCTACAGTGAGCCAGGATTGCGCCACTGCACTCTAGCCTGAGTGACAGGGAGAGACCCTGTCTCAAAAAAAAAAAAAAAAAAAAATTAGCTGGGCATGGTGGCACGAGCCTGTAATCACAGCCACTTGGGAGGCTGAGGCAGGAGAATCAATTAAGCCCAGCAGGTGGAGGTTGCAGCGAGCCTAGAGTGTGCCACTGTCTGGGTGACAGAGTGAGACTCTGTCTTAAAAAAAAAAGAATACCCCAGACCTCTGACAGTTCCCTGGATTTCCCCGCCCTCTCCATCCACTGGCACCTTCTCCCCAGCTAGATTCCTTTAGTCTAGTCCCCAAGGCCCTGTACCAGCCCTCTCTGTCCATACTAGCCCTCTCTATCCACTCCAGCCCTCTGGATACGGACACCTCTTCCCTCCCCCAGCATCAACTGGTATCCCAGCCTGGGCTGAATCGAGGCCTGATCCTAGATCTTCTTGACAAACTGAAGAATCCTGGGAAAGGACCCTCCATTGGGGACATTGAGGATGAGGAGCCTGAGGTGAGCGCCTTGGCTGACAAGAGCACTGGGGACCTCGTGATCTTTCTCAGGCTGTGCCTGCTGCCGGCAGTGCCTTCCCGCTGCCTCTCTTAGGGGGAGAACAGGCAGGGAGGATGGGGAGCTTCGTACAAGGCTGTGTGCCCAGAGGGTTACAGGAAAGCAGATGGACCCCGGGCAGGGTAGGGGGCTGCTTGGAGGTCCTGAGCCCTGACATGGCTGCCCCTCTGCCCAGCTACCCCCTGCTATCCCTCGGCGGATCAGATCCACCCACCGCTCCAGCTCTCTGGGGATCCCAGATGCAGACTGCTGTCGTGAGTAGAGAATCCTTACCTCTGGGGACACCTGACCCTATAATAGACCTAAGAGACCCCCTTCCCCTACCATCAGGCCACCAGAGACCCTCAGCATCATCTGATCCTATAAGAGACCCCAGACGATCTCATCAGCACCTGACCTACAAAATGACCGTAGAGGCTGGGCGCAGTCGCTCACACCTGTAATCCCAGCACTTTGGGAGGCTGAGGTGGGGGGATCATCTGAGGTCAGGATGTTGAGACCAGCCTGGGTAACAGGGTGAAACCCCGTCTCTGCTAAAAATACAAAAATTAGCCGGATGTGGTAGTGCGCGCCTGTAGTCCCAGCTACTCAGGAGGCTGAGGCAGGAGAATTGCTTGAACCTGTGAGGTAGAGGTTGCAGTGAGCCAAGATTGTGCCACTGCACTCTAGCCTGGGCGACAAGAGCGAGACCGTCTCAAAAAAAAAAAAAAAAAAAAGCAAGATGACCATAGAGTCCCCAGGGAGACCTCAGAAATTCAGAAATCTCATCAGAACCTCAATACCCAAACGGATCCCGAAAACCTCTGTAACTATATTGAGCCCCCAGCTTCCTGATCCCAAAGCTTATTTATTTGTTTATTTATTTATTTATTTTTTTGAGACGGCATCTTACTCTGTCACCCAGGCTGGAGTGCAGTAGCGCGATCTCGCCTCACTGCAAGCTCCGCCTCCCAGGTTTATGCCATTCTCCTGCCTCAGCCTCCCGAGTAGCTGGGACTTTTTGTATTTTTAGTAGAGACGGGGTTTCACCGTGTTAACCAGGATGATCTCGATCTCCTGACCTCATGATCCACCCGCCTCAGCCTCCCAAAGTGCTGGGATTACAGGCGTGAGCCACCACGCCCGGCTATTTGTTTATTTTTTTGTGACAGGATCTTGCTCTGTCCCCCAGGCTGGAGTGCAGTGGCGTGATCACAGCTCACTTCAGCCTCAAACTTCTTGGGCTCAAGGAATCCTCCCACCTCAGCCTCCTGAGTAGCTGGAACTACCGGCTTATTCACCACATGTGGCTAACTTTTTTTGTTGTTGTTATTGTTGCCCTGGCTGTTTTTTTTTGTTGTTGTTGTTATTGTTGTTGCCCTGCCACTCTGTTGCCCAGGCTGGAGTGCTGGAGTGTAATGGTGCGATCTTGGCTCACCGAAACCTCTGCCTCCTGGGTTCAAGTGATTCTCCTGCCTCAGCCTCCCGAGTAATTAGGATTACAGATGCACACTACCATGCCCGGCTAATTTTCGTATTTTTTTTTTTTTTTAGTAGAGACGGGGCTTCACCATGTTGACCAGGCTGGTCTTGAACTCCTGACCTCAGGTGATCTGCCTGCCTCAGCCTCCCAAAGTGCTGGCATTACAGGAGTGAGCCACTGTGCCCAGCCACTTGGCTAATTTTTAATCATTTTTTGTAGAGATGGGTTCTCGCCAAGTTGTCCAGGCAGGTCTCAAACTCTGGGTTCCAGCGATCTACCCACCTCACCTTCTGAAATACTGGGATTATAGGCACGAGCCACTGCACCCGGTCTTGATCCCAAACTTGACCCCCAAATGAGGTCCCTGTAAACCAAGACCCCTTTCCCTAAGGGACAGTTCCCTGAGATCCTTTGCAGTCCCTAAGATCCTGACTGCAACCCCCCCGGCCAATTCTACTCTTTCTGTTCTTAAGCCCATCTCACTACCCCTTGCCCCCATCTCACAGTGGGTTATCTTCCCCCACACATCCTAGGGCGGCACATGGAGTTCAGGAAGCTCCGAGGAATGGAGACCAGACCCCCAGCCAACACCGTGAGATGCTGCCCCCAACTCCCCACCACACCACCTGCTTCCCTGAGGCCACTGCTGACCCTTTTCCTACCCCACAGGCTCGCCTACAACCCCCCCGAGACCTCAGGAGCAGCAGCCCCAGGTCAGGGACCCCAGAGAGGATGGGGAGGGGGCTGGAATGTGGGCAAGGCCCCCAAGACTCATACCCGTCACCCTTCAGGGAGCAACAGTCAGAGTCTTCCGACGATGACTATGACGACGTGGACATGTAAGTGAGGCCCTGCCTGCAGCTCCACAGGCCCCACCTCAGCCTCCACCTTCCTACAAGCCCCTGATGTGACCTTTCCTCCACTCCTGACCCCGCTGCACCCCTGCCTTTCTTCTAGCCCCGAGCCCTGAGCCCTGACTAGACCCTTGATGCAGCCCCTCTGCCCAGCTACCTAGACCCTGTTCCCTAACCACCTCCCTTAACCCTTCACCTCCAACCCCTGACCCCCAGCCTGATCCCAACTCCAGCTCCAGCTCCTACTTTCCTTCCACCTTTTTTTTTTTTTGAGACAGAGTCTCACTATGTGGCCCAGGCTGGAGTGCAGTGACGCAGTCTCAGCTCACTGCAACCTCGGCACCCCGGGTTCAAGCGATTCTCCTGCCTCAGCCTCCTGAGTAGCTGGGATTACAGGCACCTGCCGCCACACCCGGCTAATTTTTTGTATTTTTAGTAGAGACGGGGTTTCACCATGTTGACCAGGCTGGTTTCAAACTCCTGACCGCATGGTCCACCCACCTCAGCCTCCCTAAGCGCTGGGATTATAGGCGTGAGCCACGGCGCTTGGCCTGCTTCCATCTCCTTATACAATCTTTGACTTGACCCCCAACGTCAGCCCCCCACCTGCTCTCCACCCCAGAGCTGACCCCAGTTCTTTCTAGTATGTGCTGCTGCTCCAGTCTCTGACTTGATCCCACCTGTCCTCCACGACCCTGGACCCTCAGCCACATCCCAGTCTCACACTCCTCCCGAATGTCACTCTCACCCCAGACCCACCCCCAGCCTTCAGCCCCAGCCCTCAGCTTTTCCTGTCTTTTTGCCTGCCCTCGGGCTGAACCTTGGCACCTGGAAATTTCCCAAAGGCCAGATGCTGAGCTCCAGATCCAGACCCAACAGTCAGCCCAGGCCCCCATGTTCCCCAGCCCACAGGCGGAGTCAGGCTCCAGGTGCGCGCACTCGCTCCTCCCATCATGTGCGGCTGCCTGTGTGCGGCGCCAGCACGTGTGCGGCGCCAGCACCTGGAGAGCGGGGCCCCTGCGCTGATGTCACCTGTGTGACTAGGTGGTGTACAGGTGCAAAGCCGTGGCGCACTGTCAGCACGCCACCTCCAAGAGTTGCTGTTACTGTTATTAGTCTTTTCTTTGGAAATAGGCTAATCATTTTTTGTAGAGATGGGGTCTTGCCATGTTGTCCAGGCTGGTCTCAAACTCATGATTTGTTTTGGCACCCAGGCTAAGTGCAGGAGTGTGATGACGGCTTACTGCAGCCTCAACCCAGGCTCAAGCAATCTTCCCACCTCAGCCTCCTGAGTAGCTGGGTTCACAGGTGTACCTACCACGCCTGGCTAATTTTTAATTTTTTTGTAGAGACAAAGTCTTACTATGCTGCCCAGGCTGGTCTCGAGCTCCTGGGCTCAAGCCATCCTCCTGCCCTGGCCTCCCAAAGCGCTGTGATTACAGGCAGGAGCTACCATGTCCGGCCTGGTTATTAATCCTTTAATCCTCAGCTCCGGCCAGAACCAGCCATCCCCTAATCCTCCTAACCTCAGACCCCAGTCCCAGGCCTCCAGCTCAGAACCACGCCATCTTCCCCGGGTCCTTGTTCCCCAGGCCCCCAACTATTTAGCCCATCTTTGTGTTTCAGCCCCACCCCTGCAGAGGACATACCTCCTCCACTTCCCCCCAAGGTAAGGCCCTGGGCCAGAGCTGGGAGGATGGAGCCCCAGGGCCACTGGGTGCCAGGAGGCCAGGTCCTTAGATGCTGGGATACTGGGATCTCCAGGGCAGGGAATCGGGGAGACCAGGATGGTGGCTACGTTGGGATCTGGAAGTGGCATCCCTCAACCTCAGGGTGGGAGTCAAAATATTTAGCCTCTTGGACACTGGTCCGTAGCTGGTCCTAGGAAGCCCCTGCTATATCCAACATTAACCCATCAGTTTCTGAAGTGTGTTGATGTCCGGGCTGGGGGTGTCCGGGGAAGGCTGGAGGGGGCGCAAGATGTTGTGGGGGAGGGTCAGAGCCATGGCTGTTAGTTCTGGTGGAGGCAGGGACTGGAGTTGCAAAAGGGTGCCCTCTCTGAGATCATCTGATGTATTTCCCCACGCTCTGTTCCTGTCTCCAAAGCCCAAGTTCCGTTCTCCATCAGACGAGGGTCCTGGGGGTATGGGGGATGATGGGCAGCTGAGCCCAGGGGTGCTGGTCCGGTGTGCCAGTGGGCCCCCACCACACAGCCCCCGTCCTGGGCCTCCCCCATCCACCAGCAGCCCCCATCTCACCGCCCATTCAGGTAAAGGGACAGGCTAGGGTGGAGGGTGGGAGGAGTGGGGGGTCTTGGGGGCTGATTTTCCCCTAACCCCTCTCAGAACCCTCACTCTGGAACCCACCCTCCCGGGAGCTCGACAAACCCCCACTCCTGCCCCCCAAGAAGGAAAAGATGAAGAGAAAGGTGAGGTTCAGCTCTGCTGAGGACTTGCACCTCTGGACGGGGCTGGATTCGCCTGGTGAGGTGGGGAGGGGGTGACAGGACGGACAGTAACAACAGGTGATATTTGTTGAGCACTTCTCTGTGCCTACACTGATCTCCTGTCATTACATGGCATAAAGCTTCACCGAGTGAAGAAGATATCACAGAGACATTATCCCCCATTTCACAGATGGGGAAATTGAGGCACAGAGAGGATAAGTGGCTTACCCAAGGTCATATAAATACCTTTGAGGAGGCTGAGGCAGGATTGTTGTTTCTGCTTTTTTTTTTTTAAAGACAGAGTTTCGCTTGTTGCCCAGGCTAGAGTGCAGTGGCACGATCTCAGCTCACTACAACCTCCCCCACCCTGGTTCAAGTGATTCTTCTGCCTCAGCCTCTGGATTAGCTAAGATTACAGGCATGTGCCACCATGCCCGGCTAATTTTGTATTTTTAGTAGAGGCAGGGTTTCACCATGTTGGTCAGGCTGGTCTTGAACTCCTGACCTCAGGTGATCCACCTGCCTTGGCCTCCCAAAGTGCTGGGATTACAGGCATGAGCCACCATGCCCAGCCAGCTTTTTTTTTTTTTTGAGACGGAGTCTTGCTCAGTTGCCCAGGCTGGAGTGCGGTGGCGCGATCTCGGCTCACTGCAAGCTCCGCCTCCCAGGTTCACGCCATTCTCCTGCCTCAGCCTCCCGAGTAGCTGGGACTACAGGGGCCTGCCACCACGCCTGGCTAATTTTTTTGTATTTTTAGTAGAGACGGGGATTCACCGTGTTAGCCAGGATGGTCTTGATCTCCTGACCTTGTGATCCACTGGCCTTGGCCTCCCAAAGTGCTGGGATTATGGGTGTGAGCCACTGTGCCCGGCTTAAGTTTTTTTTAACGGAGTCTCCCATTGTCACCCGGGCTGGAGTGCAATGGCGTGATCTCAGCTCACTGCAACCTCCGCTTCCCGGATTCACGCGATTCTCCTGCCTCAGCCTCTGGAGTAGCTGGGACTACAGGTGCATACCACCTGAGGTAATTTTTTTTTTTTTTTTTTTTTTTTTTTGAGACAGAGTCTCGCTTTGTCACCCAGGCTGGAGTGCAGTGGCCAGATCTCACCTCACTGCAACCCCCACTTCTTGGGTTCAAGCGATTCTCCTGCCTCAGCCTTCTGAGTAGTTGGGATTACAGGTGTGTGCCACTACGCCCAGCTAATTTTTTTTTTTTTTTTTTTTTTTGAGACGGAGTCTCGCTCTGTCGCCCAAGCTGGAGTGCAGTGGCGCAATCTCGGCTCACTGCAAGCTCCACCTCCCGGGTTCACGCCATTCTCCTACCTCAGCCTCCCCAGTAGCTGGGACTACAGGCGCCCGCCACTGCGCCCGGCTAATTTTTTAATATTTTTTTAGTAGAGACGGGGTTTCACGATGGTCTCGATCTCCTGACCTTGTGATCCGCCCGCCTCGGCCTCCCAAAGTGCTGGGATTACAGGCGTGAGCCACCGCGCCCGGCAATTTTTGTATTTTTAATAGAGATGGGGTTTCTCCATGTTGGTCAGGCTGGTCTCTAATTCCCAACCTCAGGTGATCCACTTGCCTCAGCCTCCCAAAGTGCTGGGATTACAGGCATGAGCCACCGCACCTGGCTACTAAAAATTTAAAAAATTAGCTGGGCATGGTGGCACACACCTATGGTCCCAGCTACTTGGGAAGCTGAGGTAGGAGGATTGCTTGAGCCCAGAAGTCAGAGTCTTTTGACGAGATCCATCAAAACCTCCACGAGTCACCATCACATATGCAGTTGTCCGAAGAACCAAGATCTCAAGAAATTTTATCTCTCATAAATGGAGATGTACAAAAAGAACATCTCTTTATTCAGGAAGTTTCAGTGTTTTTACATACATGCATAATGCCTACACACATAGTCAGTGTTGTGATAATGTACCTTTGTGGGATCAAATTTGCCAAAAAATGCATAAAATGAATTAGAACTATCTAGTTTTTTTTTTTTTTTTTTTGCGATAGGATCTCGCTCTGTCGCCCAGGCTGCTGGAGTGCAGTGGTGCGATCATGGCTCACTGCAGCCTTGTCCTCGGAGACTCAAGCAATCCTCGCACCTCAGCCTCCCTAGTAGCTGGAACTATGCACTTGGCGAATTTTTTTTTTTTTTTCCTGAGATGGAGTCTTGCTCTGTCGCCCAGGCTGGAGTGCAGTGGTGGTATCTTGGCTCACTGCAACCTCTGCCTCCCCAGTCTAAGCGATTCTCCTGCCTCAGCCTCCCAAGTAGCTGGGACTACAGGTGCCCACCACTACGCCCAGCTAATTTTTGTATCTTTTGTAGAGATGGAGTTTTGCCATGTTGGCCAGGCTGGTCTCAAACTCCTAACCTCAAGTTATCTGCCAGCCTCGGCCTCCCAAAGTGCTGGCATTACAGGCATGAACCACCAAGCCTGACCCAGCTTGGCTAATTTTTTAAAAAATGTTTTATAGAGGCAGGGTCTCACTATGTTGCCTAGGCTGGTCTTGAACTCCTAGGCTTAAGTGATCCTCCCCCCTCGGCCTCCCAAACTGGTGGGATTACAGGCATAAGCCACCGTCCCTGGCCAGTTACCGGCTAAAAGTATGTATAATTTATCTTCCAGTACTGGAAATGATTAAAAGATGAAATACATAGCATAGTGAATTATATATATACTGGCCAGGCACAGTACCTCATGCCTATAATCCCAGCACTTTGGGAGACTGAGGCAGGCGGATCACCTGAGGTCAGGAGTTCAAGACCAGCCTGGCTAACATGGCGAAACCCTGTCTCCACTAAAATACAAAAATTAGCCAGGCGTGGTGTTGTGCACCAGTAATCCCAGCTACTCAGGAAGCTGAGGCAGAAGAATTGCTTGAGCCCGGGAGGCGGAGGTTGCAGTGAGCTGAGATTGCACCACTGCCCTTCAACCTGGGCAACAGAGTGAGACTCCATCTCCAAAAACAAAACTGATAGCTGGCAGTGGTGGCTCACGCCTGTAATCCCAGCACTTTGGGAGGCTGAGGCAGGTGAATCACATGAGGCCAGGAGTTCAAGACCAGCCTGGGCAACATGGCGAAACCCCATCTCTACTAAAAATACAAAAATTAGCTGGGTGTGGTGGCGCACACCTGTGGCCCAGCTGCTCAGAAGGCTTAGGCATGAGAACTTGGGAAGCAGAGATTGTAGTGAGGTGAGATCATGTCATTGCATTCCAGCCTGGGCAACAGAGCGAGAATCCATCTTAAAAAAAAAAAAAAAATGCTGATGATTTAGGATAGTGGAGGAAAAAGTAGAAAAAGAAATATATAACAAAAAAAATAACAAACTGAAAAGAAAACTCAATATATGAAGAAGTATATTATGGGGTAGATTATGGGAAATTGCACCAAGGTAAGAGGCAGGATTTGAACCTTGGCACTCTTGCTCCAGAGTCTTAACCACTGCCCCTTCCTGTTCCCTGCTCTCTTTGCCGGATCTGCTGCTTGGCCCCGTGGCGACCTGCCCAGGGATGCGCCCTTCTGGTAAAGTTGTTCAATGGCTGCCCCCTCCGGATCCACAGCACAGCCGCCTGGACACATCCCTCCACCAAGGGTGGGCATTCTGGAGGGTCAAGGAGATCCTGCAGGGAATAGGGGAGCAGAAGTAGGGATGGGGAGGAGCCTAAGGAAGGCACAAAGGCAGGGACAGGGAGGAACTTAATGGGGTTGGGGCATGGCCAGGCTGAAACAGGGGCGGAGCTTGTCCTTTCACTCAGGATTTGGTGATCAAAGATGCATGGAGGGCAGCCAGGTGCGGTGGCTCACGCCTGTAGTCCCAGCACTTTGGGAGGCTGAGGCGGGGTAAATCACTTGAGGTCAGGAGTTCAAGACCAGCCTGGCCAACATGGTAAAACCTCGTCTCTACTAAAAATACAAAAATTAGCCAGGCATAGTGGCACGTGCCTATAATTCCAGTTATGAGGCTGAGGCAGGAGAATTGCTTGAATCTAGGGGGTGGAGGTTGCAGTGAGCTGAGATCATGCCACTGCACTCCAGCCTGGGCAACAGTCTCAAAAAAAAAAAAAAAAAAAAAAAAAGGGTAAAAAAAAAAAATGGGTAGAGGGATGAGTTGGACAGTGAAACTAGGAATATTGGAATTCAGAGGCCAGGAGTGTCAGAATATAACAAAAAGGTTAGAGTTTGGTGCGCAGGAGAGATGGACGGCTGGAGGTTAATGATAGGGAGACTAGGAGCAGCATTTTGGGGTGAGGAATTTTAGAGATTAGGATGCAGCCAGAAAGGGACAGAATCTAGAGATCAAAGAGATGAAGACAAGGTCAGTGTTAAAGGAACAGCTCACACTAGACAGAAAAAGTCCTATTTGGGGGTGTCTGAGTTTGAAGGTCAATGTTAAGACAGGATTGGCATTAGGGTATCAGAACTGGGGAGAAAGAGGGGAGGCAATCAGAGGACTATTTTGGGGGGCAGGTCTAAGGTTGGGGTCAGCTGGGTTCAGAAGACAGTGGGGCAGAGATGAAAACACCACCAGAATATGGGTAGTCAAAAGGAGGGAGAATGAGACTGGCTTGAGGGACCGTCTGCTCTGGGTTTGTTTGGGGAAACAGAGGCTGGGAGTATTGGTTTGGAGAAAGAATAGAGGGTCAGAGCTGGGTCCACAGTGTCAGTGTTTGAGGTCAGGTGGGGATCTGGGAGGTCCCCGAGGATGAAGTCGGTCCCAGCATCCTTGTCTGTGCCTCCAGACCAGCACCTGCTCCTGGGGGCAGAGGAAGGCATCTTCATCCTGAACCGGAATGACCAGGAGGCCACGCTGGAGATGGTGAGGAACCATACCGGGCAAGGGCAAGGGCAAGGGCTGGAGTCGGGGGTTGCTGGGGTGTCACCAGAGCCATCTCTTCCGTTCCCTGCAGCTCTTTCCTAGCCGGACTACGTGGGTGTACTCCATCAACAACGTTCTCATGTCTCTCTCAGGTCTGGCTGTGGGTAGCAGGTGGGATGGGGTCGGAGGTTAAGGGGTCAAGGGTTGGGGGGCTGGGAAGTAGATGGGGAAAGCTAAAAAAAAAACTTCGACTCCTTGGTCACAAAGTCCTAGGTTCAAATCCCAGCCACTTTTTCACCGTGCTCCCCAAGCCTCAGTTTCTCCATTTGGAAAATGGGGTTCACAATAGTCCTCACCTCTCAAGTCAATTTTGAAGTAGTAGCTGGGCGCAGTGGCTCACGCCTGTAATCCCAGCACTTTGGGAGGCCGAGGCGGGCAGATCACAAGGTCAGGAGATCGAGACCATGGTGAAACCCCATCTCTACTAAAAAATAGAAAAAAATTAGCCGGGCGCAGTGGCGGGCGCCTGTAGTCCCAGCTACTCGGGAGGCTGAGGCAGGAGAATGGCGTGAACCCGGGAGGCGGAGCTTGCAATGAGCCGAGATTGCGCCACTGCACTCCAGCCTGGGCGACAATGACAGCCAGATGAGCCACTGCACTCCAGCGACAGAGCGAGACTTGTCTCAAAAAAAAAAAAAAAAAAAAAAAATTTGAAGTAGTTTCTACAATAAATTAGTCTTTTTTTTATTTTATTTTATTTTTTTGAGGCAGTCTCGCTCTGTTGCTCAGGCTGGAGTGCAGTGGCTCACTGCAACCTCCGCCTCCCGGGTTCAAGTGATTCTCATGCCTCAGCCTCCTGAGTAGCTGGAATTACAGGTGCGTGCCACCACACCTGGCTAATTTTTGTATTTTTAGTAGAGACAGGGTTTTACCCTGTTGGCCAGGCTGGTCTCAAACTCCTGACCTCAGGTGATCCGCCTGCTTTGGCCTCCCAAAGCTCTGGGATTATAGGCGTAAGCCATTGCACCTGGCCTAAATTAGTCCTTTTTTTGTTTGTTTGTTTTTTGTTTTTTGTTTTTGAGATGGAATCTCACTCTGTTGCCCAGACTGGAGTGCAGTGGTGCAGTCTCGGCTCACTGCAACTTCTGTTTCCCATGTTCAAGCGATTCTCCTGCCTCAGCCTCCCGAGTAGCTGGGATTGCAGGCTACCCGGCTAATTTTTTGTATTTTTAGTAGAGACGGGGGTTTCACCATGTTGGCCAGGCTGGTCTCGAACTCCTGACCTGGTGATCCACTCACCTCGGCCCCTCAAAGTACTGGGATTACAGGTGTAAGACACCGTGCCTGGCCCTAAGTTAGTCTTTAAACAGCTTTCACGTTCAGATGACAATCAGAACTTATTCCGTACTTTACTAAGATAGAGTGAGCAAGTTATAGATTTAAAAATCCGGACCAGGTGGTGCAGTGGCTTATGCCTGTGATCCCAGCACTTTAAGAGGCCAAGGCAGTAGTATTGCTTGAGCCCAGGAGTTCTAGATCAGCCTGGGCAACATAGTGAGACCTCATCTCTACTCAAAATTAAAAATATTAGCTGGGCGTGGTGACACACACCTATGGTTCCAGCTACTCGGGAGGCTGAGGTGGGAGGATCACTTGAGCCCAGAAGTTAGAGGCTGCAGTGAGTCATGATCATGCCACTGCACTCCAGCCTGGCAGACAGAATGAGACTCTGTGTCTCAAACATAACAATAAATAGGCCGGGTGCGGTGGTTCACACCTATAATCCCAACACTTTGGGAGGCCGAGGCGTGTGGATCGCCTGAGGTCAGTAGTTGGAGACCAGACTGGCCAACATGGTGAAACCCCGTCTCTACTAAAAATACATAAATTATCTGGGCTTGGTGGCATACACTTCTACTCCCAGCTACTTGGGAGGCTGAGGAATGAAAATTGGTTGAACCTAGGAGGCAGAGGTTGCAGTGATCCAAGATTGTACCACTGCACTCCAGCCTGGGTGACAGAGCGAGACTGTCTAAAATAATAATAAAAATAAATGAAATAATGTCTAGTTTTGGGGGAAACACCAAGCCAAATAGGATTCATGAGTTAGTGAAAGCCACATCTGTAATGACAAACTAGAAGATTTTCTAGATGTGTTTATTCTAAAACTTTGTAATATGTGTAACTTCATCTGGCTGGTTATGTGTCCAGAGTTTCTGATGTGGCTACAAATACCACGAGGTTAGGGAACATATTTATTATGCTCATCACTGTTCACCAGAGCCAAGCACAGCAGGCCTGGCCTACAATGAGCCTTTAATCTATGTGGAGTGAGAAATGAATGAATGAATGAAAAGTACTTGAGACTTGCAGGCTTGGGAGTCTCAGACAAAGGGATGGGGCTGAGGGAAGGGATGGAGGAAAGGAAGTGGTAGATGGGATCCTATAACTGCCTGCTTCCCCCCCCATACACACACCCTGCAGGAAAGACCCCCCACCTGTATTCTCATAGCATCCTGGGCCTGCTGGAACGGAAAGAGACCAGAGCAGGAAACCCCATCGCTCACATTAGCCCCCACCGCCTACTGGCAAGGTACCAGCTCCCAGTGAATGGCACCACAGAGCCTTATAATTCCCCCCATGTCCCCCTGCCTCCTGCTGTCCTACCCCTCTTCACGCCTACCTGTTCTCCAGGAAGAACATGGTTTCCACCAAGATCCAGGACACCAAAGGCTGCCGGGCGTGCTGTGTGGGTGAGAGAGAGCTTCACGGGTGTGCAGAGAGTGGGCGGGGCCGGGCCAGAGGAGGGGCTTGAGCTGCATCCACCTGAGGTTACAGAGTTAAGGCAATGTGTCCAGAACCCAGAAGATGGGTGGTAGTGTGGGCTTTGTGGGAGGGTGGCGAGGAGGGTAGAGGGCATTGATTTTGACTCATCCTTGCCCACGCCACAGCGGAGGGTGCGAGCTCTGGGGGCCCGTTCCTGTGCGGTGCATTGGAGACGTCCGTTGTCCTGCTTCAGTGGTACCAGCCCATGAACAAATTCCTGCTCGTCCGGGTAAGGGGCTTGGGAGGGTGCTGGGAACGCTGAGGCGTGGGTGGCTAAGGCCTTGCACCCTTTGCGCTTCTATCAAGAGCTCCGTGAAGCCCCACCTCCGTCGGGGCCCCACCTCAATCCTCCGAGGTCCTGCCCACCTGCGCGGTGTGCGCTGGAGCCTCGCCCTTCTGAGGCCATCCTGATCCTTAAGCGCCGCCCCTCACACCTGGGCCTAATTATTCCTCAGGCTCAATGCTGCCACTCCCTGGGTCTCCTAGTACAGCCCATTTAGAGCCTGTCCCTTTGAGTCTCTAAGCAGGTTTTGCTATCTTTGGGGCCCTGCCCCTCTGCCGCCAAGGTGGCATGCCCCCACGTGGAAGCCACACCCACTCGGAGGCCACTCCCCCCGTTTTCACGGAGGCACCAGGCCTTACCCCCTGACATTTCTAGTCGGCATCTCCCAAGACTCAGCGCCCTGGTTCGGAAGTCCCAGGCCCGCTCCAAGCCACGCCCCCTGAGGCCCCGCCCTGGACCACCCCCTAGCCCGCCCCTCCCTGTGCGGCCCGCAGCAGGTGCTATTCCCACTGCCGACGCCTCTGTCCGTGTTCGCGCTGCTGACCGGGCCAGGCTCTGAGCTGCCCGCTGTGTGCATCGGTGTGAGCCCCGGGCGGCCGGGGAAGTCGGTGCTCTTCCACACGGTGCGCTTTGGCGCGCTCTCCTGCTGGCTGGGCGAGATGAGCACCGGTGAGTGGGGCGGAGTCTTTCTGGGGGCGGGGCTGCTGGGGGCGGTGCTTATCAGGTTCGGAGGGGCGGGGCTGGAGGCGGGGCTTCGCTTAGCCCGACGCACTACCGGCCTGAGAAAGGGCTGGAGGAGTGGGAAAGGGAGAATGGCAGGTTTTAATTAATTGGGGAGACTGATGATGGGGTGGGGCCGGGATGGTGGGCGAGGTTTAGCCCACTTGCTTGGGAACTGAGGCAGTGGCTAAGGCAGAGGTACTGGCCTTCTGGGGGTGGTGTGGGGAAAGGGGAATGGGGTGGGGTCAATCCTTAACCCATCCCCCCCAAACAGAGCATAAGGGACCAGTGCAGGTGACCCAGGTAGAGGAGGATATGGTGATGGTGTTGATGGACGGTAAGAACCCTCCTCCCTCCCCTTCCTCCCCACCCCTCCAGCTGCGGTCCCTAGATCTCTGCCTCCGAACTTGTGCTTCTCAGAATCCCCTGAGCCCCTATCGGCCTTGCCCCTGTCCTACATAGCTTTGACACTGAATTTATGGACTGGTCCCTTAGTAACCCTCTAAGCCTTGCTCACAGTTCTTAAAACTGTCTATCTCCTTCCAGGCTCTTTGAAGCTGGTGACCCCGGAGGGGTCCCCAGTTCGGGGACTTCGCACACCTGAGATCCCCATGACGGAAGCGGTGGAGGCCGTGGGTCTGTGCAGGGACAGGAGAGCCCAGGATCAGGGGTGGAGACTCAGGTGATCCCCAAGGGTAACGGGCATTGCTTTCTCCCCAGCTATGGTTGGAGGTCAGCTTCAGGCCTTCTGGAAGCATGGAGTGCAGGTGTGGGCTCTAGGCTCGGATCAGGTAAGCCCCTCCATCCAAACTCCACATCGCTGTCCCCCAGCCTCCATCATCACATCATCACGTTCATCAGATGGGCTCCGAATACTCCTGAGTCAGAATGTGAAGTCCTGGAGGGGAAGCATCTTCCAATTTCAGTTCAGACAGATCCCCTTCTTTGCCTGAGGATTTATTTTTTATTTTATTTTTATTTTTATTTATTTTTTTAAGACGGAGTTTCGCTCTTGTTGCCCAGGCTGGAGTGCAATGGCGCGATCCCGGCTCACTGCAACCTCCTCCTCCCGGGTTCAAGCAATTCTGCCTCGGCCTCCCAAGTAGCTGGGATTACAGGCATGCACCACCACAGCTGGCTAATTTTTGTATTTTCAGTAGAGACGGGGTTTCACCACATTCATCAGGCTGGATGGTCTTGAACTCTTGACCTGGGGTGATTCATCCGCCTTGGCCTCCCAAAGTGCTGGGATTACAGTCGTGAGCCACCACACCTGATCTAATATATATATATATGTATACACACACACACTCACTCTGTCACCCAGGCTGGAGTGTAGTGGCGTGATCTCAGCTCACTGCAGCCTCCGCCTCCCAGGTTCAAGGAATTCTCCTGCCTCAGCCTCCCTAGTAGCTGGGACTACAGGTGCATGCCGCCATGCCAGGCTTTTTTTTTTTTTTTGAGATAGAGTCTCGCTCTGTCCCCCAGGCTGGAGTGCAGTGGCGCGATCTCGGCTCACTGCAAGCTCTGCCTCCTGGGTTTACGCCATTCTCCTACTTCAGCCTCCCGAGTAGCTGGGACTACAGGCGCCCACCACCTCACCTGGCTAGTTTTTTTTTGTATTTTTTAGTAGAGTCGAGATTTCACCGTGTTAGCCAGGATGGTCTCGATCTCCTGACCTCATGATCTGCCCGTCTCGGCCTCCCAAAGTGCTGGGATTACAGGCGTGAGCCACTACTACTGGCCATTTTTATATATTTTTTGAGGCAGAGTCTTGCTCTGTCACCCAGGAGTGCAGTGGCAGGATCCAAACTCACTGCAGCCTCTGCCTCCTGGGTCCAAGTGATTCTCCTGCCTCAGTCTGCTGAGTAGCTGGGATTACAGGTACACTCCATCACGCCCAGGTCATTTTTGTATTTTTAGTAGAGACGGTGTTTTGTCATGTTGGCCAGGCTGGTCTCGAACTCCTGACCTCAGGTGATCCACCCACTTCGGCCTCCCAAATTGCTGGGATTACAGGTGTGAGCCACTACACCCAGCTCCTTGCTTTCTTTAAGGGAGCCATGTTTGTAGTGACAGTGGAAATATCTTCCAGGCACTGAGACACACACTTTTTTTCCCTAGCTGCTACAGGAGCTGAGAGACCCTACCCTCACTTTCCGTCTGCTGGGCTCCCCCAGGTATGTTGTGGGGTGGGGTGCAGAAGGACCTGGGAGGGGGCTTCTGCTGTGAAGAGAGCATTCTGAGGTGTCCCCTGCTTCCATGCCTGCCCCCTAGAGTCTATTCCCTGCACTGCAGCCACGGGGGCATTTTCTTTGTTTTGTTTCTCACTGTACTCAAAGGCTGGAGTGCAGTGGCACGATCACGGCTCACTACAGCCTTGACCTCCCAGGCTCAAATGATCCCCCCACCTCAGCCTCCGGAGTATCTGGAACTACAGGCATGTGCCACCATGCTCAGCAATTCTTTTATTTATTTAGTTAGTTTTTATTGAGATGGAGTTTTGCTCTTGTTGCCCAGGCTGGAGAGTAATGGCATGATCTTGGTTCACTACAACCTCCGCCTCCCAGGTTCAAGCGATTCTCCTGCCTCAGCCTCCCGAGTAGCTGGGATTACAGGCATGTGCCACCACACCTGGCTAATACTGTATTTTTTAGTAGAGGTGGCGTTTCACCATGTTGACCAGGCTGGTCTTGAACTCCTGACCTCAGGTGATCCACCTGCCTTGGCCTCCCAAAGTGCTGGGATTATAGGCATGAGCCGCTGCACCCGGGCAATTTTTTTATTTTTTAATTTTAATTCTTTTCTTTATAAAACATTTTATTTATTTATTTTTGACACAGAGTCTTCCTCCGTTGACCAGGCTGGAGTGCAGTGGCACAATCTCAGCTCACTACAACCTCTGCCTCCCAGGTTCAAATGATTCTCATGCTTCAGCCTCCCAAGTAGCTGGGTTTACAGGTGTGCACTAGCACGTTTGGCTATTTTTTGTATTTTTAGTAGAGACGGAGTTTCGCCTTGTGAGCCAGGCTGGTCTCACACTACTGACCTCAGGTGATCCAGCTGCCTTGGCCTCCCAAAGTGCTGGGATTACAGAAGTGAACCACTGCACCTGGCCCTAATTTTACTTCATTTTTGAGACAAGGTCTCATTCTGTTGCCCAGGCTGAAGTGGTGGTACACACACAGCTCACTGCAGTCTTGACCTTCTGAGCTCAAGCAGTCCTCCCACCTCAGCCTCCTGAGTAGCTAGGACCCCAGGCGTACATCATCACAACTGGCTAATGTTTTGATTTTTTGTAGAGACGGGGTCTTACCATGTTGCCGAGTCTGCCCTTGAACTCCTGGCCCCAAGCAATCTTCCTACCTTGGCCTCCCAAAATGTTAGGATTACTGGCATGAGCCACCATACCTGGCTTTTTTTTTTTTTTTTTTTTAAGACAGAATCTTGCTCTGTTGCCTAGGCTGGAATGCAGTGGCGTGATTTCAGCTCACCACAACCTCTACCCACCAGGTTCACACAATTCTCCTGCCTCAGCCTCCCGAGTATCTGGGATTACAGGCACGTGCCACCATGCCTGGCTAATTTTTGTATTTTTAGTAGAGACAGGCTTTTGCCATGTTGTCCAGGCTGCTCTTGAACTCCTGACCTCAGGCGATCTGCCCATCTCAGCCTCCCAAAATGCTGGGACTACAGGCATGAGCCACCATGCCCGGCCCTGGCTACATTTTTATTTTAGATTTTTATCTTATTAAAAATTTTTAGGCCGGGCGCGGTGGCTCAAGCCTATAATCCCAGCACTTTGGGAGGCCAAGACGGGCGGATCACAAGGTCAGGAGATCAAGACCATCCTGGCTAACACGGTGAAACCCCATCTCTACTAAAAAAATACAAAAAACTAGCCGGGTGAGGTGGTGGGCGCCTGTAGTCCCAGCTACTCGGGAGGCTGAGGCAGGAGAATGGCGTGAACCCAGGAGGCGGAGCTTGCAGTGAGCTGAGATCCAGCCACTGCACTCCAGCCTGGGCGACAGAGCGAGACTCTGTCTCAAAAAAAAAAAAAAAAAAAAAATTTAACTATTAAAAATAATTATTTTAACTGTTTATTTTGACATAATTTTAAACTCACACTCCCAGAGAAGTTGCAAAAATGAAACAAAAAAAATTCCCTTTTATCCAGATTAACCATATGTTAATCTTTTCTTTTTGGGATGGAGTGGCCTAGGCTGGAGTACAGTGGCGTGATCTCGACTCACTGCAACCTCTGCCTCCTGGGTTCAGGCAATTCTCCTGTCTCAGCCTCCTGAATAGCTAGGACTATAGTTGCATGCCACCACGCCCAGCTAATTTTTTTGTATTTTCAGTAGAGACAGGCTTTCATCATGGTGGTCAGGCTGGTCTTGAACTCCTGACCTCAGGTGATCCACCCACCTCTGCCTCCCAAAGTGCTGGGATTACAGGTGTGAGCCACTGCACCTGGCCAGATATTAATCTTTTTGACTGCATTTGCCTTATTATTCTTTTTTTTTTTTCCTTTTTTTGAGACAGAGTTTCGCTCTTGTTGCTCAGGCTGGAGTGCAATGGCACAATCTCAGCTCACCACAACCTCCGCCTCCCAGGTTCAAGCGCTCCTCTTGCTTCAGCCTCCCGAGTAGCTAGGATTACAGTCATGCGCCACCATGTCCGGCTAATTTTGTATTTTTAGTAGAGACAGGGTTTCACCATGTTGGTCAGGCTGGTCTCGAACTCCTGACATGGTGATCCACCCGCCTCAGCCTCCCAAAGTGCTGGGATTACAGGTGTGAGCCACCGCACCCGGCCTGAGCTTGACCTTTTTCAAGAGTAAAGGAAAGCTGTTTTCTAGAATATTCCTTGATTGTGTTTGAGGTTTCCAGGTTCTGCATTTTGGCCAGGAATACCGCAGAAAGACGTTTTTCTCAGGGCATCATTTCAGGAAGTACATGATGCTAGTTTGTCCCGTTACTGGTGATACTAATTTTGATCATTTGGTTAAGCCAGTTCTCTCCAGTGTGAAGTTGCTTTTTTTTCCCTTTTTCTTTTTTTTTTTTAAAGATAGGGTCTCTCTGTCACTCCGGCTGGAGTGCAGTGACGTGATCATGGCTCACTGCAGCCTCGACCTCCTGGGCTCAATCAGTCCTCCCACCTCAACCTCCCGGATAGCTAGGATGACAGGCATGTACCACACTACACCTGGCTTATTTTTGTATTTTTTTGTAGAGACAGGGTTTCGCCATGTTACTCAGCCTGGTCTGGAATCCTGGACTCAAGTGATTCACATGCGTAGGCTTCCCAAAGTGCTGGGCTTATAGGCATGGGCCACCACACCCAGCCTCTGTTTTTCTTTGTAATAAGAAGTATCTTTTGGGGAAGATTCATTGAGACTATGTAAATAGTCTGTAAATATGTTGTTTCTCATCAGATTTTCACCCACTAGTTTTATTGTTTTTTGTTTGTTTTTTGTTGTCATTTTGAGATCCCCTTGGATCTCAAACATCAAAGTGCAGTGGCACGATCTCGCCTCTGCAACCTCTTCCTCCCAGGTTCAAGCAATTCTCCTGCCTCAGCCTCCTGAGTAGCTGGGATTATAGGCGTGCATCATCACGCCCGGCTAATTTTTGTATTTTCAGTAGCGGTGGGGTTTCGCCATGTTGGCCAGGCTGGTCTTGAATTCCTGGCCTCATGTGATCATCACGCTCGGCCTCCAAAAGTGCTGGGATTACAGGTGTGAGCCAACGCACCTGGCCTGCCCACTAGTTTTAGAATCAATTGATTTTTTCTCTGAATCTATTATTGTTAGGTGGTTACTAACAATAAATAGTGATTTTCTGATTCTGTTTCCTTCTACGTGTGTTAGTTGGCATTCTACTCTAAAGAAGAGCTGTGTCTTCTCCATCCCTTCTTTCTTTATACCAGCATGGTCTCAGGGATTTTCATTCTGTGGGTTACAGTCTATCACTACCAAGCATGAGCCACTGTGCCCGGCCTTGTCATTATTTATTTTGAGGCACAAAGAGTCTCAAATTTAGCCAGTGGGAACCACTTTAAGGAGCCCCTGTGTCCTTTTGACATGCCAGAAGGGTCATTTTAAAATCCAGATCTGATTGTGTCACTCTCTCCCTGGTTAAAATCCTCTCGTGGCCTCAAGATAAAGACTCAATCCTGGCCACAGCCCACAAGGCCGTGACATCTTCAGCCAAGTCCCAGCCTTTCTCCCACCTCAAATCCTTTGCACAGGCTGTTCTCCCCGGCCAGAACACTCTTCCTTGCCCTTTCACCAAGTTCCCTCCTAATCCTCCTTCAGGCTGCACCATCCATTCTCTGGGGAGTCTGGGCTGACCTCCTGGGTTAGGTTTCCCTGCCAGGCATGCCATGCTTTTTTCAAGTAATTCACTGATTCATGTTGATCTCCTCCTCTAGAGCTTTCCAAGGGCAGGGACCATGTCTGCCCGTTCACTGCTATAGTTCAGCATGGGGCTGGCACAGTCTCTGTTAACTACTTTGTGAATGAATGAATCAATGAACGTATGAATGAATAAATGAACTGACTTCTCTCTTCCTTCCACAGGCCTGTAGTGGTGGAGACACGCCCAGTGGATGATCCTACTGCTCCCAGCAACCTCTACATCCAGGAATGAGTCCCTAGGGGGGTGTTAGGAACTAGTCCTTGCATCCCCCTCCCCCATAGACACACTAGTGGTCATGGCATGTCCTCTTCTTCCAATAAACGTGACTTCAGCCTCTGCTGTCATCTTGTTTTTCTTGGGGGAAACAATTTCTGGATGCCCACTCCTCCAAAATTTCAACAGCCCAACACAATGATGCTGGGGGGCGTAGCACAGATTTATTTTCCAGTACTAGGTCACCTCTCCCCCAGCTGCCTTAGGGGGAGGAGCTTGGGGACTAAGGGACTTGCTGTGAGAATAAGGCACTTGAGGTGGGGGTGGAGAGCCAGCTGGGGGTCTCAGCTAAGCTGGTCCTCATACTGCTTGCGGAAACAATCGCCAGCCGGGAAGAAATCCCAACATCTCTCTTGGTACATCTTCCAGACATAAGACTCCTAGGATTGGGGATAGAAGGAGTTCATTGGTCACATCTTCAAACCCTTGAGACATATATATATACTTTTAGACAGGGTATTGCTCTGTTGCCCAGGCTGGAGTGCAGTGGTAGCAATCGCAGCTCATTGCAGCCTCCTGACTCAAGTGATTCTCTGCCTCAGTCTACAGAGTAGCTGGGACTACAGGTGCACACCACCACCCCTGGCTAATTTTTTAATAGAGACAGGGTCTCTCTCGCCATGTTGCCTAGGCTGTCTTGAACTTCTGGTCTCAAGCAATTCTCCCGCTGTGGCCTCCTGAAGTGCTATGATTGCAGGCGTGAGCCAGGATGCCCAGCCCAAACCCATTTTTTTGAGACGGAGTATCACTCCTAGGCTGGAGTGCAGTGGCATGATCTTGGCTCACTGCAACTTCCGCCTCCTGGGTTCAAGCAATTCTCCCACCTCAACTTACCAAGTAGCTGGGATTACAGGCGTGCGCCACCACGTCCCGCTAATTTTCGTATTTTTAGTAGAGACGGAATTTCATCATGTTGGCCAGGCTGGTCTCGAACTCCTGACCTCAAGTAATCCACCCGCCTTGGCCTCTCAAAGTGTTGGGATTACAGGCGTGAGCCACCGTGACCAGCCCCAGTCTTAACCCTTGATATTGATAGGAGCTTTTTACTGCCACCTACTGACTGGCCTTATGTTAAAGGACTCCATGTCCTGCCCACTGTCCTCCCATTAACACCCCCTTACCTGACCTGTGTGTTCTGTCTCATCCTTGTTTATCAAATACATCAGGAAAAACCTGAGGGTGAGAGGACCACAGGAGACAAGTCTGAACCACCCTTACCTTATTTTATTTTTTTACTTATAGTAGAGAGGAAGTCTTGCTATGTTGCCCAAGCTGGTCTCGAACTCCTGGCCTCAAGTTATCCTTCTCACTTGGCCTCCCAAAGTGCTGGGCTTACAGGTGTGAACCATCGCCCGGGTCCCCACCCTTACCTTCTGATTGGCTGGCAGGGAATCTGCCCACATGGACACCACACCCCCTTTCCTAACTGGCCAAAGCTAAGGTCCCCGCCCCTGGCTATTGGCAGCCATGCCCCCCACCCTCCTGATTGGCCAGTGTGTCCGTGCTCACATGTAATTGGCCAGGTTGTGCTCCTCCAGCGTGTGAGTCTCGAAGCCATGCGGTGTCGTATCAAAGTAGTCACTGCCGATTCCGCAGATGAAGCACTTGGTCTGTGAGTGGCAAGAGACATCAGAGTGGAGGCCCACTTGACCCCCGAATCCCGTAATCCCTCTGGGTTACCCCCAGACATGACCCACCTCCATATCCTCCTTCACTTGCTCTTGTTGGTCTCGGAGCTCACCAAAAGCGTCGATGATCAGACCTGGGGTGGCAGGACACGAGTCAAAGCCCAACCTCTGACCTTGTTCAGACTCCTCCCTCTCCAGCTACGTACCTCCAGGGCTTGCCCTCCATCCCCCATCTCCCTAATCTCACTCCTAATCTCACTTCCTAAGAAGATAATATTAGGCCTTTATTGGCCAGGTGTGGTGGCTCATGCCTGCAATTCCAGTACTTTAGGAGGCTGAGGTGGGAGGATCATGTGAGGTCAGGAGTTCAAGAGCAGCCTGGCCAACGTGGTAAAACCCCATCGCTACTAATAATACGAAAAAAAAAAAAAAATTAGCTGGGCGTGTTGGCACGTGCCTGCAGTCCCAGCTACTCGGGAGGCTGAGGCAGAAGAATTGCTTGAACTTGGGAGGTAGAGGTTGCAGTGAGCCAAGATCGCACCACTGAACTCCAGCCTGGGCAACAGAGCGAGACTCCCTCTCAAAAAAAAAATATATATATATATATATATATATATGTATAGATATGTGTGTGTATATATATGTATATACATATATGTATGTATATTTATATATACACATACACGCACACATATATAATATACGTATATATAATATATATGTATATATAATATATATAATATACGTGTATGTATAACATAAATATCTCAGGCCTTTATTGAGCACTGATATGAGCCAGACACTGAGCGCCTATGCATTGACTTAATCCTGATCACAACCTATGAGGTCAGTACCACTGACGCCCTTGTTTTGCAGATGGAGAAACTGAGGCCCCAAGAGGCGACTTGCCCAGGGTCTCACAGTAGCGAGAGGTAGAGATGGGGCATGAATCCAGGCCGACTGGATCCTGGGCCTGCATTCTTAGCCACGGAGCTAGCCTCCCTCCGGGCCCTGAGTGCCCACTCCCAGCACTGACCCTGGATGATGGCCAACAGGATGACGATGACGAAGAAGAAGAAGGTGATGTCGAAGACCACCCTGTAGAGCTCGTATTCGTCACCCGCGGGGTCCTCGATCTCGTCCCCAATGCCTCCGCCAGCCCGGACACCCACGTACATGTGAAACAGGTAACACTGAGGGAAGGGAGCACATTGGTCACTCATTCATTCACCACTCACTGAGTACCAGCCAGTGCACCGGGATAGGCAGGGCTGAAGACACGGTAATGACTGAGACAGCCCTGGGCCCTGCCCTCCAAGGGCTCAGAGATACAGCATCAGACAGGGACCAACAGCCAGAAATGGTTAGGGCTGTGACAGAAAGGGCATGGGCAGGGGGGTGAGGGCCGGGTTGGGTGCGGATCACAGGCAGAGGGGTCAGGGCCAGGATGAGGGGCACAGGTAGAGGGGTCAGGGCCGGGATAGGGGGGTGAGGGCACAGGTAGAGGGGTCAGGGCCGGGATAGGGGGCATAGGCAGAGGGCTGTGGCCAGGATGTGGGGGCAGGCAGAGGGGTCAGGGCCAGGATGTGGGGGGCACAGGCAGAGGGGGGCTGTGGGCCAGGATGTGGGGGGCCACAGGCAGAGGGGTGAGGGCCAGGATGTGGGGGTACAGGCAGAGGGGTGAGGGCCGGGTTGGGTGGGGAGCACAGGCAGAAGTCAGGGCCAGGGTTGGGAGGCACAGGCAGAGGGGTGAGGGCTGGGATGGGAGGGCACAGGCAGAGGGGTCAGGCTGGGATGGGAGGGTACAGGCAGAGGGGTCAGGGCTGGGATGGGAGGCATGGCAGAGGGGTCAGGGCTGGGATGGGAGGGCACAGGCAGAGGGGCTGTGCTGGGATGGGAGGGCACAGAAAGAGGGGTGAGGGCTGGGATGTGGGGACACAGGCAGAGGAGTGATGGCCGGAATGGGAGGGCACACACAGAGGGTCGAGGCTGGGGTGGGGAGGCACAGTGTGACCAGGGATGAGCTGGGGGAAGCACTGGAAGCTTTAACAGCCCACTGGAGGCATCTGATCCAGCCTAAGTGATCAGGCGAGGCTTCCTGGAAGGGGAGGCAGGTGTGAGCTGAAACCTAAAGGAGGCGTTAGGTGGAGGGGTGGTGGAAGAGAGTGTTCCCGGCCGAGAAAGCCACACGCTGCAACACCATCAGTGAGGAAAGAATACAGCTTGCTGCTGTAAGGAACTGAAAATGGTTGGGTGAGGCTGGAAAATAGAGCTCCTGTGCAGGAGAGCAGGGAGAGAGATGAGGCAGGGCCTGGACACGTGGCTCTGTAGGCCCCGGCCCAGCCCGTGGTCAGGGGCTTCCTGTAGGACGCAGCATTTAAGTGGAAAGGTGAGGTATCAAGTGAATGGGGTGTGCGTGTGTACGTCGGGCCTGGGCTAGGGGACAGAGAGAACATCAGGTGCAAAGGGCTTCAGTCAGGAGGAAACACGCAGTCCTAGGGGAACTGAAAGAGGACCAGGCGGCCAGAAAGCAAAAAGCAAGAGGGTTTGTGGTTAGACCCAGGCCGGGCCAGATCTTCCCAGGCTTTGTAAGCCGTGGTGGGGTGATTCGATTTTATCCGCAGTGGATGGGGAGCCGCAAGAAGGGTCTGAATGGAGGTGGTGAGGGAGCATGGTCCACCTGGCATTTGGGAACAACTTTACACTTGGTTTTTTTTTTTGTTTTTTTGAGACAGAGTCTTGCTCTGTTGCCCAGGCTGGAGTGCAGTGGTGCAATCTTGGCTCACTGCGACCTCTACCTCCGAGTTCAAGAGATTCTCCTGCCTCAGCCTCCTGAGTAGTTGGGATTACAGGTACGTGCCACCCCAGCCAGCTAATTTTTGTACTTTTTTTTTTTTTTTTTTTACTTTAGGTTGGAGTTTTGCTCTTGTTGCCCAGGCTGGAGTGCAATGGTGCGATCTCGGCTCACCACAACCTCCGCCTCCAGGGTTCAAGAGATTCTCCTGCCTCAGCCTCCCAAGTAGCTGGGATTACAGGCGCACACCACCACATCCCACTAATTTTTGTATTTTTAGTGGAGATGGGGTTTCACTATGTTGGCCAGACTGGTCTCAAACTCTTGACCTCAGATGATCCACCTGTCTTGGCCTCCCAAAGTGCTGGGATTAAAAGCGTAAGCCACAGCACCCGACATACACTTGTTCTTTTTGTGTTCCCAGGATGTGAGAGAACACAGTCATCCTAGAGTAAAAGCTAAGATAAGTGACTATAATGAAAACAAGGCTGTAGGCAGTGAGGCCGTGTCTGGAAGGGCCTCAGATGTCAGGTTGAGGAGCTGGACTTTGTCCTGAGAGCAGGAAGGAACCCAGGGAGCCAGATTACAGGACATCTTTGGAGATAAACCTGGGAAATGATTCTTTTAATTGTGGCCTATGTCTC